GATTTTCTGATACGAAATCCAGCATATAGATCTCGTCTGCTGTGACATACTGTTTTAGTGTAAATAAAAGAATTTTGCAAATAATAATAATGATGATTATTTCTAACCCATCTCTCCTCAAGGTGGGTCGCAGCATAGTCAAAAGACACAAGCATTGCAAAAATTCTTTAATAATAATAATATTAGTAATAATAATAATAGTAATAATAATAATAAGATTTTGTCTGCTGTAATGTACTGTTTTAATGTAAATAAAAGAATTTTGCAAATAATAATGATGATTATTTCTAACCCACCTCTCCTCAAGGCAGGCCGCAGCACAGTCAAAACACATAAGCATTGCAAAAATTCTTTAATAATAATAATAATAATAATAATAATAATAATAATAATATTAATATTTTGGAGGGATTTTGTTGCATCATTGTACTTTGCAGAATAATAGTAATAATAATAATAATAATAATAATAATAATAATAATAATAATATTTTTCTTTCTTGGCCACTGCTCTATAAGCACACATACTCAACGATACCTCTCTAAAACATACATATCAGAACCTATTCCTATAATATACATATAATATACATAGGGGAGGGGGCTAGACTAGCTGTCCTTTGGGCGTCCCCTTCCAACTCTAGGATTGTATCCTTTCTTGGGTTCTTTTTCACGTCTTTGCGCCACCTTCTTAGGCTTTCAAGGCCATCCGGAGCTTCATGACCAAACTGGAGAAAGTTTCCGAAGACCCGGAGCAGCTCTCCGAGCTTGGTGAGACGTCCTTGGCGAGATTGTGGGAGGGACACATTGGTGGAAGACCAACCTTGGCTCAGGATGAAGCCAATCTTCATAGGAGGGGGAAAAAATTCTGGATGGGCATCTGTCATTAGGGGTTTGGTTGTGTCTTCCCACCTGTCTCCAAACCCTCGGAACCAATGCTTGGTGGGTTTGTTTATCTTTCAAGAAAAGGACGTCAACTCCATTTCGGCCAGTCCAGGAGCCGGGGCCAGTTGGGCGGGTTGGGCCGTGACGGGGGTCTCGTCGCTCACCTCGAAGCTGATCCGGACGAATGCGGGGACGGCGCCGGCGGCGGAATCGGGAACAGAGGGGGCCCCGGCCACCGCAGAGCCCCTCAAATCAGGTAAAAGGACCCCAAGGGCCATAGGAATGTCCTGGAGAGCCACCTAGAACGCCAGAGCTTGACTTGTTTTTCCACTTCCTCCATTCCTGTTATTGTTGGAAGGGGTTGGACACCCTCCGCCCTCTCCGTCTCCAGCAGCTCCGGCCTCATCGAGTGGTTGGGACCTTGAGGAGGAAGCGGCCGAAGAGGACAGCACCGGTGACCGATGGGATGACGAAGACTGGGGCAGCTTGGAGGTAAAAAGGGAGAAGTCTTCACTACCAGCCCTGGTAATCGTTCTCCTCAATGTCCATCATGATGTCATGGGGGTCTTCATTGGCTGTTTGAGTGGAGTAGATATCATCAGTGTCCATCATAGATTCATGGTTCTCAGTGTCCATCATGTCGTGGGGGTCTTCATTGGCTGTTTGAGTGGAGTAGATATCGTGAGTGTCCAACATACATTCATGGTTCTCCTCAGTGTCCATCATTATGTCGTGGTTGTTTTCATTGGCTGTTTGAGTGGAGTAGATATTGTGAATGTCCATCATACATTCATGGTTCTCCCCAGTGTCCATCATGATGTCGTGGAGGTCTTCATTGGCTGTTTGAGTGGAGTAGATATCGTGAGTGTCCATCATAGACTCATGGTTCTCCTCAGTGTCCATCATGATATCATGGTTGTTTTCATTGGCTGTTTGAGTGGAGTAGATATCGTGAGTGTCCATCATAGATTCATGGTTGCCCTCAGTGTCCATCATTATGTCATGGTTGTTTTCATTGGCTGTTTGAGTGGAGTAGATATCGTGAATGTCCATCATAGATTCATAGTTCTCCTCAGTGTCCATCATGATCTCACGAGGATCTTCATTGGTTGTTTGAGTGGAGTAGATATCGTGAGTGTCCATCATAGACTCATGGTTCTCCTCAATGTCCATCACGATGTCATGGGGGTCTTCATTGGCTATTTGAGTGGAGTAGATATCGTGAGTGTCCATCATAGACTCATGGTTCTCTCAGTGTCCATCGTTATGTCATGGTTGTTTTCATTGGCCCTTTGAGTGGAGTAGATATTGTGAGTGTCCATCATAGATTCATGGTTCTCCTCAGAGTCCATCGTTCTGTCATGGTTGTTTTCATTGGCTCTTTGAGTGGAGTATGTGATTTATTATTATTATTATTATTATTATTATTATTTTACATACACAAAAACATAGTATGTCACAGCAAGTGAGATCTATATGCTGGATTTAGTATCGCAAAATCACAAGTCGAACACTTCCCAAGCGTCTAGGACTGTGTGATGTATTATTATTATTATTATTATTATTATTATTAGTAGTAGTAGTAGTAGTAGTAGTAGTAATAGTAGTAGTATTCTCTACAATTTGACACCTGGCCTCCCATTAACCTTTATTGTTATATTACATTATTATTATTATTATTATTATTTCTTACCCTTTGACACCTGGCCTCCTATTAACCCTAATTATTATTATATTATATTGTATTATTATTATTTTACTGATACAAAACCACAGTATGTCACAGCAAACAAGATCTCTGTGTTGGACTTTGTATCACAAAATCACAAGTACAACACTTCCCAAGTGTCTAGGACTGTGTGATGTATTGTTATTATTATTATTATTATTATTATTATTATTATTTTACTGACACAAAAACCTGGTCTATATAAGTAATAAACCTGTCATATGACATCATATTAAAAGTTTCAACAACAATAACATAATACTTTGTGTATCTTGTTGGTATTGCCTCCATTATTATTATTATTATTGTTATTATTATTATTATTATTATTATTATTATTATTATTATTATTATTATTCTCTCCACAGCAAGAAGCGGAGCAGTCAAAGAGGCAATCCAGTCCGGAAGACTGGAACAGCCCAGGATGGTCGGAGCCAGTCTCTTTGGCCAGGAAACCTGAAGGCCGGACGGTGAGTCTGAGCCGAACCTCCAGGGGCTTAAATCCCAAACTGTCCTGTTTTGGGAACTCTGTCTCTTCTGTTGCGAATGGGAGCTCTGCCTCTTCTGTTGCGAATGGGAACTCTGCCTCTTCTGTGCGAATGGGAGCTCTGCCTCTTCTGTGTGAATGGGAACTCTGCCTCTTCTGTGCGAATGGGAGCTCTGCCTCTTCTGTGTGAATGGGAACTCTGCCTCTTCTGTGTGAATGGGAACTCTGCCTCTTCTGTGTAAATGGGAACTCTGCCTCTTCTGTTGCGAATGGGAGCTCTGCCTCTTCTGTGTGAATAGGAGCTCTGCCTCTTCTGTTGTGAATGGGAGCTCTGCCTCTTCTGTTGCGAATGGGAGCTCTGCCTCTTCTGTGTGAATAGGAGCTCTGCCTCTTCTGTTGTGAATGGGAGCTCTGCCTCTTCTGTGCGAATGGGAGCTCTGCCTCTTCTGTTGCGAATGGGAACTCTGCCTCTTCTGTTGCGAATGGGAGCTCTGCCTCTTCTGTGTGAATGGGAGCTCTGCCTCTTCTGTTGCGAATGGGAACTCTGCCTCTTCTGTTGCGAATGGGAGCTCTGCCTCTTCTGTTGTGAATGGGAACTCTGCCTCTTCTGTGTAAATGGGAGCTCTGCCTCTTCTGTTGCGAATGGGAACTCTACCTCTTCTGTTGCGAATGGGAGCTCTGCCTCTTCTGTTGTGAATGGGAGCTCTGCCTCTTCTGCTGCGAATGGGAACTCTGCCTCTTCTGTGCGAATAGGAGCTCTGCCTCTTCTGTTGTGAATGGGAGCTCTGCCTCTTCTGCTGCGAATAGGAGCTCTGCCTCTTCTATTGTGAATGGGAACTCTGCCTCTTCTGTGTGAATGGGAGCTCTGCCTCTTCTGTTGCGAATGGGAACTCTGCCTCTTCTGTTGCGAATGGGAGCTCTGCCTCTTCTGTTGTGAATGGGAACTCTGCCTCTTCTGTGCGAATGGGAGCTCTGCCTCTTCTGTTGCGAATGGGAACTCTACCTCTTCTGTGCGAATGGGAGCTCTGCCTCTTCTGTTGTGAATGGGAGCTCTGCCTCTTCTGCTGCGAATAGGAACTCTGCCTCTTCTGTTGCGAATGGGAACTCTGCCTCTTCTGTGCGAATAGGAGCTCTGCCTCTTCTGTTGCGAATGGGAACTCTGCCTCTTCTGTTGCGAATGGGAGTTCTGCCTCTTCTGTTGCGAATGGGAGCTCTGCCTCTTCTGTTGCAAATGGGAACTCTGCCTCTTCTGTTGCGAATGGGAGCTCTGCCTCTTCTGTTGCGAATGGGAGCTCTGCCTCTTCTGTTGCGAATGAGAACTCTGCTTCTTCTGTTGCGAATGGATGTTGCTTATCACCCCTTTCATCCTTGGCAGGCGGCTACCTCCTCAAAGCCGGAGTCCGACTGGGGCGCCTCGGCCTGGGACATGGAGCCTTCGTGGGGGCGCAAAAAGGCAGAGGGGGCTGCAAAGCCCACCGTCTGTCCGCCGGAGGGGACCAAGCTAGCCAGTGAGTACAACTGGGAGAGTGTCCCGGCCGCGGACAAGCCGGACCCGTTCTCCTCCCTCGCAGAGAGGCCAACGACAGAGAGACAGGTGGGTACATCATCATCATCATTATTATTATTATTATTATTATTATTTTTAGTTTGGGGACCCAGCGGTGCCCGGGTCATTTGAGAAAGGCATTGCTTGTCTTTGCTTCAGATACAGTCTAGATCCACTGTCAGCTGGTTCAGAGAGTGTGGGTGAACTACAACTCCCATATGTAAGTCCCATTGTTGATGGTCCATTGATCCTCCAAACTGCACCAAGATGTAAAGTGGGTCATGGGGGTTCTGTGTGCCAGGTTTGGTCTTGACTGGCGTGGGTCACGGTGGTCTCAGGAAGTGAGTGAAGGTATTGATTTATTGAGTGAAGGTGTTTTATTGATTATTATTATTGGTTTTATAGTATATATTAATATTTTTAATTGTATTTATGATATTGTGGGCATTGAATTGTTGCCTGAAAACCGCCTTGAGTCACCTGAAATATGTTTTCTGATGGTCTTTGGTGACCCCTCTGACACCCACTCGCAACCCCTCCTGGAGCCGCGACCCCCAAGTTGAGAAACACTGATCTAGGGCCTTTTGGGGGATTTATGATGTTTATTTATTTATTTATTTACGACATTTATATGCTGCCCTTCTCACCCTGAAGGGGACTTAGAGCACCTATATATATATATATACACACACACATACATACATACATACACACATATACATACAATATATTATTAACATAGTACAATATCAGTATTAAACGTTACTGTATTGTACTATACCATTATATTGTAATATTATTAGTCATATTACATATAATATAAATATATAATTATAATATCATATTATTATTAGTATTATATTGCATTACATTATATGTTATAAATATATGTGTATACAACATAGAGATGTATATATGTTGTAACTTAGACCCGATGTACATGGGCAGAATTGTTAGGTTCTCGTATTCCGAGCAATGAAGATGCATGGCAACTTTAGCCGCTGTGTCTCTTGCCGTCTTCTTTCCACCGAAGACTAAACCTGTAGCAACAAAGTTGGAGCTACGGAAAAGCACAAGCAAAACACCCCTGACAGATGTGCATGCAGCCTCTCTTTATGTCTCTGTGGAAGGCAGGAGTGAGGGATCAAAGAAGCAGAACTCTCTCTCCCTGAAGCCTTCTGTGGAGTTCCACAACCAAATCCTCCCAATTTACCCTCTTCCCTCCATATCATTTCAGCGAAACACAGATGCCTTTGGAGATTGGGGCCTGGAGGAGAATTGGGAAGCGCTGGAGTCGGACCAAGGTAAGAGCATCCTGTTAGAAATGGCACGGCATTTTGAGTCATAGAAAAATACTGATTGATGACCATGCGGTACATTAATAATAATAATAATAATATCTATATATATAAATCTGAAAGTGGCGTCGAACGGGACAGCAAAACTCAAAACCCCCCCAACGAAAATTAACCAAAATTCCCATGCACCTACCACAACCCACAAGGTACAAACAAATTGAATCAAAGTAAAAAACAACACAACAACACACTCACAAAACGACAAAACAACTGAGCATTCGCAATGGCACCCAGCCTGCCGGCCACTGCTCCCTCCGTGCAAGCCACGCCCCCAACCTCCCGCCGCGCCGCTTCCCGCCCTGTCAAAACCATCCCTCCTCCCCCTCCTTCATCTAACCCAGCCCAGCCCTCCGGTAAGACACACGCTTCCTTCTTCCCCCACCCCTTCCCTCCCTCAGTCAATCCTCCTCCTCCCACCCCCTCCAGTAAGACACGCCCCCTTCCTTCCCCGCGGCGGGCCCAATCAAGGAAGAGGAAAAACATCGAAGGAAGGAAGGAAACAGAGAAGGAAACATGGAAGCAAAGAGTGAAGGAAAGAAGGAAAGAGGTAGAGAAGGAAGAAAAGAGAGAAAGAGGAAATGAAGAGGGATGGAAAGAAATGGGTAGAGAAAGAAGGAAGGAGATAAGAAAAGAAAAGGAAGGAAAGAGGAGCGAAGGAAGAAGAGAAAGAAAGAGAAAGAGGGGGGAAGGAAGGACAGACAAAAGGAAGAATGGAAACAGAAAACCAGGAAGGAAGGAAGGAAAGAGGCAGAAAGGAAGAAAAGAGAGAAGGAAAAGAAAAAAGAAGAGGAAAGGGGAAAGAGAAGGAGAGAAGGAAAGAAAAGGAAGGAAAGAGGAGCAAAGGAAGAAGAGAAAGAAAGAGAAAGAGGGGGGAAGGAAGGAAAGACAAAAGGAAGAATGGAAACAAAAACTACAGGAAGGAAGAAAGGAAAGAGGCAGAGAAGGAAGAGAAAGGGAAGGAAAAGAAAAAAGGAAGAAGGAAAGAGGAAGAGAAGGAACGAAGGAGAGGACAGAAAAGGAAGGAAGGAGGAGCAAAGGAAGAAGAGAAAGAAAGAGAAAGAGGGGGGAAGGAAGGAAGGAAAGAGAAAAGGAAGAATGGAAACAAAAACCACAGGAAGGAAGAAAGGAAAGAGGCAGAGAAAGAAAGGGAAGAAAGAAGAAAGGAAAAAGGAAAGAGGAAAGAAGAAGGAAGAGAAGAAAAGAAGAAAAGGGAATGAGGGAAAGAAGGAGAGAAAGAGGGAGGTAAGGTGGGCCACAGCAATGAATGGCAGGAAAGGGGAGGTAGGACGAGAAGGGTTTGGTAAGCAATGGGAAGGAAGAAAGGAAGGAGGGAAGGCAGGAAAGAAAGAGGTACCGAAGGAAGGAAGAAGAGAAGTAGAAAGGAAAGAAAAATAAAAGGAAGGAAAGGCAGGAAAGAGGTAAAGAAGGAAGGAGAAAAGGAAATAAAAAGAGAAAGAAGGAAGCAAACAAGGAAGGGAAGAAAGGCAAAGGAAGAAAGGAGGAGGGAATGAAGGAAAGAGAGAAGGATGAAACCAAGTAGTGAAAGAAGGAAAGAAAGAAAGAGGTAGAGAAGGAAGAAAGGAGAGAAAGGGGGAGGAAAAGGGGGAAGGAATAGGTAGGTACCTCTCTTTCATAATAGTCCAGATATCTACCTCAACTTTGAAAGATTTACTATAGGCCACAGCAACGCGTGGCAGGGTACAGTTAGTAATAATAATAATAATAATAATAATAATAATAATAATAATAATAATAAAACTTTATTTGTACCCCGCTACCATCTCCCAAGGGACTCGGTGCAGCTTACATGAGGCCGAGCCCACAATACAAGAATAAACAATAACAGCAATAAAACCAAAACAGTACATAAACTCATAAGCAAAATAAGCAATCAACATTAACAATAACACAACGCATTTAAAAACCTGGCCCCCTGAAGTCACAATGTGCGATGGTGGTGGGAGCGTGAGCGGGGCCTCTCCAGATGATCGAAGAGAAACTGAGAAGAGGGGGGAGTTGGGCAGGAAGGGTGTCTAAAAGGAAGCGGTGGTGGGAAAAAGTCAGGAGTGTCTTTCTTTGCTGCAGAGATACAAGCAATAGATCCATTTCAAAGCAAAAACGGCTTGTGAGTGGTCATTTAATATTGCTATAGAAGCAGATGGTGGAAACAGAAGAACGGCCTGCCTCAGGGGAGCGTGCTTGCTCCATCCATGTTCAACATCTACACAAATGACCAGCCACTGCCAGAAGGGACAGAGAGTTTCATCTATGCTGATGATCGTGCCATCACCGCTCAAGCAGGGAGCTTTGAGATGGTTGAACAGAAGCTCTCCGAAGCTCTAGGTGCTCTTACTGCCTATTACAGGGAAAACCAGCTGATCCCTAACCCATCTAAAACACAGACATGCGCCTTTCACCTTAAGAACAGACAAGCATCCCGAGCTCTGAGGATTATTACCTGGGAAGGAATCCCACTGGAGCATTGCAGCGCACCCAAATACCTGGGAGTCACTCTGGACCGTGCTCTGACCTACAAGAAGCACTGCCTGAACATCAAGCAAAAAGTGGGTGCTAGAAACAATATCATACGAAAGCTGACTGGCACAACCTGGGGATCACAACCAGACACAGTGAAGGCATCTGCCCTTGCGCTATGCTACTCTGCTGCTGAGTATGCATGCCCAGTGTGGAACACATCTCACCACGCTAAAACAGTGGATGTGGCTCTTCATGAGATATGGAGTGTCTGCGCCCTACACCACTGGAGAAATTACACTGCTTAGCCGGTATTGCACCACCTGACATCCGCCGGGAAGTAGCAGCCAATAGTGAAAGGACCAAGGCAGAGACATCTCCAGCTCATCCCCTGTTTGGGTATCAGCCAGCACAGCAACGACTTAAATCAAGAAATAGTTTTCTAAGATCTACAGAGACACTCACTGGAACACCTCAGCAAGCGAGAGTCCAAAAGTGGCAGGCTCAAACCCAGACCCTCAATCCATGGGTGATACAAGATGAGAGACTCCCCCTGGGCACACAGAAGACTGGGCGACTTGGAAGGCGCTGAACAGACTGCGCTCTGGCACCACGAGATGCAGAGCCAACCTCAAGAAATGGGGCCACAGAGTGGAATCCACGACATGCGAGTGTGGAGAAGAGCAAACCACTGACCACCTGCTGCAATGCAACCTGAGCCCTGCCAAATGCACAATGCAAGTGCAGAGAAGAGCAAACCACTGACCACCTGCTGCAATGCAACCTGAGCCCTGCCACATGCACAATGGAGGACCTTCTTGTGGCAACACCAGAGGCACTCCAAGTGGCCAGATACTGGTCAAAGGACATTTAACCAACTACCAAATTTGCAAAATCTGTGTTTTCTTTTTCTTTTCTTTTTAATCTGTGTGTTTGTTTTGCTCTGTTAGAATTGTAATACAATGGTATGGTTGCTGATGACACGATAAATAAATAAATAAATATTGCTATATAGATCCTACAGTCTTACACTCAGCATGAGTATCTGCCTCTGTTGTACGTGACTCTGATTGTAAAGCCTGTAAAACTCACAGCAACCCAGGAATTCTGGCCATGAAAGCCTTCAACAACATACTGAATCTACGAATTTACTAAACAGTGTGCAGATAAGGTCAGATGCTAGCAGTTGGACTCCATAGAGAGCTGGACAGGGGGAGTGTGACCTTGTTGGTTCTCTTGGACATCTCAGCGGCTTTCGATACCATCGATCATGGTATCCTTCTGGGACGACTCTCTGGGATGGGTCTTGGGGGCACGGTTTTGTCGTGGCTCCGATCCTTCCTGGAGGGTCGATCCCAGATGGTGAAGCTGGGAGACGCCTGCTCGGACCCCTGGCCTTTGACCTGTGGGGTCCCGCAAGGCTCTATTCTGTCTCCCATGCTTTTTAACATCTACATGAAACCGCTGGGAGAGGTCATCCGGAGTTTTGGAGTTGGGTGCCATCTCTACGCAGATGACACACAACTCTACTACTCTTTCCACCTAATTCCAAGGAGGCCTCTCAGGTGCTGGACGAGTGCCTGGCCGCTGTGTCTATCTGGATGAGGAGGAACAAGCTGAAGATCAATCCCGACAAGACAGAGGTCCTCCTGATCGATTGTAAACCTGATCGGGGTATAGGGTGGCAACCTGTGCTGGACGGGGTTACACTCCCCCTGAAGCCACAGGTCCGCAGTTTGGGAGTCCTCTTGGACTCATCGCTTACGCTTGAGGCTCAGGCGTCGGTGGTGTCTGGGAGGCCTTTTGCACAACTGAGACTCGTGCGCCAACTGCGACCGTACCTCGCGAAGGCTGATCTGGCCGGGGTGGTCCATGCCTTGGTCACCTCCAGATTGGACTACTGTAATGCGCTCTACGTGGGGCTGCCCTTGAAAACGGCTCGGAAATTCCAACTGGTCCCAGGATGTTAACTGGCGCTCCTTACAGAGAGAGGTCAACCCTCCTGTTTAAGGAGCTCCATTGGCTGCCATTTATTTTCCGGTCCCAATTCAAGGTGCAGGTGCTCACCTACAAAGCGCTGAACGGTTTGGGACCTGCCTACCTGCGTGACCACATCTCCATATACGAACCCACACGCTCCCTTCGATCATCTGGAGAGGCCCTGTTCGCGATCCCACCTGCGTCACAGGCACGTTTGGTGGGGACAAGGGACAGGGCCTTCTCTGTGGTTGCCCCCCCCCCCGACTCTGGAACACCCTCCCCAAAGACATTAGACTAGCACCCACGTTGGCAGTCTTCAGGAAGAATCTGAAGACCTGGCTATTCCGATGTGCCTTTCCGGAATAGGATAACCTCCAGCACTACGTCCCAGAAGCACTTTATTAGAGTTTAAGACTCTCTGCACATTGCACTTGCCCGGAAATCCAAAATACCACCTGCCACACCCAGCACTTTTAACCTGTACCCATCACTGGCCCGGCCCTGGTTTTTATTGCGTAATAGTGCAATGTTTTGTTATTGCTTATGTTTTAATTTGCTTTAAATTGTATTGTTATTGTTTTGCTGTTGTTGTGTTGAGGCCTTGGCCTTTGTAAGCCGCATCGAGTCCTGCGGGAGATGCTAGCGGGGTACAAATAAAGTTTAATAATAATAATAATAATAATAATAATAATAGATGGGCGGAAGCGTGTTTTCTCTGTGAAAGGAGTGTGAAAAGAAGCAAGGGAGCGGGGGGATGATTTATTGTTGCCACCAATTTGAAAGGACCCAGTATTCAGGAGATTTTACCCCAGTTCCCAATTTTAAAAAGAACTGGCCGATTTGCAATGGAGGTTGCCGATTAGGAACCAAATTTACCATCAAGTTGGAAGGGAGGCTGTTCAATTGCACCTCCTCCTTTATTAAGAAAGTAATAACTTAGTAGTAATTACACTGTATATACTGTAGCGTGACTGGAGAGAAGAATGTAGATTTATTTGGTTACTTTTCCCTGCGTTTCTGCCACCACGTGAGGTAAGTTGTAATATTGTGAGAAATGGCACTTTGGACACAGAATAGACGGAGCTGAGGCAATCTTCAAATAAAAGTTAACAATTTTATTAAGTACACAGCGTGTGGTTGCAAGACGTAACTTTTCCTTGTTGCACTTGGAATAATACTTGTAACTTTAACAGTTCATTCTTTCAAGTAACACAGTATCTTTCTGACGTAGAGCACTTGTTTCAGACAAAGTTTCCATACAGGGATGTTTCCCTTATTTGATCCTCCCTAGATCAAATACTAAGTAAACTATTCTTTAGCCTCTCCTTAGACTAAAAGAATACCAGCTATGTTTCACCATTCGGCTGCACTAACCTGAGAAACTTCCAATAGCCAAACCCAGCTTTTCAAAGCCTCAAAGCTTTGCTTCACAAGTCACTCCGCCACCTTTCCTTTCCTTCTCTCCCAACTCCTAACTCCTCACTCCTCTGAACCTAACTCCTGAACTGCTCTAAACCTAAACCCTAACTGATTTTTAACTGTCGTTTTTTCAAACTCTCCCCTCTAAGCTCCTCCCACTTCCCTCTCTCCTGCATCGGTCTCCATGGCAACGCACATGGAGGACTCCTATGACTTAGGCCGCTCCAGCATGACTGCAGCCAATCTAAACACAAATACAGTTAAAATCATACAATTTATAATCAACTCCTGTACAGAGTGCTTGATTCTGGTGTTTTTCAAATACTGGTAACCAGAGAAATGCTACTGGAAGCATCCATCTTCCTCTCTACTGTGTGACTCAGCATGAGTATCTGCCTATGTTGTATGTGACTGTGATGACTGTAAAACTTTGTATTCTGCTTGCTTCTGGGACACTTGCTATCCAGAGCGCAGTTCATTCACGAACCCATCTCGCGACACATTCAGCGCCATCTTTCTTCCCTTTCTTGGGGGGCACAATGTGCAGCAGCCCCTCCATGATAACGGATATCTCTCTCTCTTTTATGTCCGTAGGGCCTAGCAAAGCGGAATTGGCACGAAAGAAGCGGGAGGAGCGGCGGCAAGAGATGGAAGCCAAGCGGGCCGAAAGGAAAGCGGCCAAAGGACCCTTGAAACTGGGAGCCAGGAAACTGGACTGATTCCCCTCTTCTTGGGAAAGAGACTAGATGCTCTCACGGAGCGGCAAAGGAGGTCCAAGAGACTAGGGATTTCTTTCTTCGGGAATGGACAAAGCACGCTGCAATCACCCTTCGCGTCTTCCTTTCAGCCCGGATCTTGCCCGCAAAGCATTGGCCGAATCCCTCCCTGCAGTAAGGCTTGAATCCCAGGTGCCTTCAAGAAGAAGGTGGGGGGGTCGATGTAAGCGCCGGACGCCTATCCACAGAGGAGGATTTGGCTGGGACAGGAATCGAGACATGTTTTTATTTGTTGTGGTTTCGCTTATTAACCACAGCTTGGTCGGGAGTGTACGTATCCCCTGCGGATATTGTGGGGATGGATTTTTTTCACTATCCACAGAGGAGGATTTGGCTGGGACAGGAATCGAGACATGTTTTCATTTGTTGTGGTTTCGCTTATTAACCACAGCTTGGTCGGGATTGTACGTATCCTCTGCGGATATTGTGGGGGGATTTTTTTTTTCGCTGTAGTTGTCACTGTACAGTTGCACGTTGTGGGTCAGATATGTGTACGTCCGCCATTTTTATTTTTTATTTTTTTTGCCTGTTTTATTGGTCAATGCGGAAGCCGACAAATAAATTAACTCTTTAATGAAAGGCTGGTGGGACCTGGCGGCCCTTTGGCAAGAGAGGGAGGGATGTGTCGCTCGAATCCTAGAGTTGGAAGGGACCCACAGAGGTCATCTAGTCCATCTCTTTGCCACGCGGATGCCTGAAACGGACCGCTGAGGCAGTCCTATTCCTATAAACGTAGTCCGCCCCAATGTTTCAGTGGAATCTCTTCTTGAGCGGTGATGGCATGATCGTCGGCATAGATGAAACTATGGAAGGAGAAAGGGGGACAGGAAGAGAAGAAATAAAGAGGGAAGGAAGAAAGGGATGAAAGAAGGGGGAAGGAAGGAGGAGGGAGAAAGGGAGAGAGGGAAGGAATGAAAGGAAGGAAGGAGGGAGGGAGAGAAAAAAAAGAAGGAAGGAGCGGTGATGGCATGATCGTCGGCATAGATGAAACTATGGAAGGAGAAAGGGGGACAGGAAGAGAAGAAATAAAGAGGGAAGGAAGAAAGGGATGAAAGAAGGGGGAGGGAAGGAAGGAAGGAAGGAAGGAAGGAAGGAAGGAAGGAAGGAAGGAAGGAAGGAGAAAAAGGGAGAGAGGGAAGGAAGGCAAGAAGGAAGGAGAGGGAGGGAGAGAAGAAATGAAGAAGGAGAAAGGAGGGAAGAAAGAAATAAGACAGGGAGGAAGAGAAGGAAGGAAGGAAGGAGAAAAAGGGAGAAGGAAGGAATGCAAGAAGGAAGGAGAGAGAGGGAGAAGAATGAGAGAAGGAAGGAAGGAAGAAGAAAAGAAGGAGGAGGGAGAAGGAGAAAGGAAGGGGGAAGAGAAGAAAAAGAGGGAAGGAAGAAAGGGATGAAAGAAGGGGAAGGAAGGAAGGAAGGAGAAAAAGGGAGAGAGGGAAGGAAGGCAAGAAGGAAGGAGAGGGAGGGAGAGAAGAAATGAAGGAGAAAGGAGAAAAGAAAGAAATAAGACAGGGAGGAAGAGAAGGAAGGGAGGAGAAAAAGGGAGATGGAAGGAATGAAAGAAAGAGGGAAGGAAAGGGAGAAAGAGGGGGGAGGAAGAGAGAAGGAAAGGGAGGAAGGGAAGAAAGAAGGGAGGGAAGAAAGGAAGAATGGAAGGAAGGAAGGAGAGGAAGAAGGAAGAGAAGGAGGGAAAGAAGAAAGGGAAGGAAGAAGAAGGGAGGGGAAAGAAGGAAGGAAGAAGGAAAGGGAACAGGGAGAGAAGAAATAAAGAGGGATAAAGGAGGGAAAAAGAAATAAGACAGGGAGAAAGGAGAAGGAAGAAGGAAGGAAAGAAGGAAAAAGGAGGAAGAAGGAAGGAAGGAAGGGAAGGAGAAAAGGGAGAGGAAGGAAGGCAAGAAGGAAGGAGAGGGAGGGAGAGAAGAAATGAAGAAGGAAGGAGGAAGAAAGAAAGAAAGAAATAAAAAGGAGGAAGGAAGGAGAAAAAGGGAGAGAGGGAAGGAAGGCAAGAAGGAAGGAGAGGGAGGGAGAGAAGAAATGAAGAAGGAGAAAGGAGGGAAGAAAGAAATAAGACAGGGAGGAAGAGAAGGAAGGAAGGAAGGAGAAAAAGGGAGAAGGAAGGAATGCAAGAAGGAAGGAGAGAGAGGGAGAGAAGAAAAAGGAAGGAAAAAAGAAAGAAAGAAAAAAGAGAAGGAAGAAGAAGGAGAAAGAAGAGAAAGGAAGGAGAAGAAGGAGAGGGAGGAAGAGAAGAAGGAGGGAGAGAGGGAAGAAAGAAAGAAGACAGGGAGGGAGAGAAGAAGGAAGGGAAGGAAGGAGAAAGGGGGACAGGAAGAAGAAATAAAGAGGGAAGGAAGAAAGGGATGAAAGAAGGGGGAGGGAAGAAGGAAGAGAAGAAAGGGAAGGAGAAAAGGGAGGGAAGAAGGAAGAAGAAAGGAAGGAGAAAGGGGGACAGGAAGAGAAGAAATAAAGAGGGAAGGAAGAAAGGGATGAAAGAAGGGGGGAAGGAAGGAAGAGAAGGAAAGGGAGGAAGGAAAGGAAGAAAGAAAGGGGGGGAAAAAAGGAAGAATGGAAGGAAGGAAGGAGAGGGCAAGAAGGAAGGAGAGGGAAAAGAAGAAAGAAGGAGGGAAGGGAAGGAAGAAGGAAGAAGAAGGAAGGAAGGAAGGAAAGAAGGAGAAAGGGGAGGAAGAGAATAAATTTAATGAAGGAAGAAAGGAAGGAGGTAGAGGGAAGGAAGGAAGTGAAGGAAAAGGAAGGAAAAGAAAGAGGGGAGAAGGAAGGAGAAGAAAGAAAAAAAGAAGGAAGGAAGGAAGGAAGGAAGAAAGAGGAAGGAAAGAAAAGAAGGAGAAGGAAGGAAGAAGGAAGAAAGAAGGAAGGAAGGAAGGAAGGAAGGAAGGAAGGAAGGAAGGAAGGAAGGAAGGAGAAACCCTAACATGACCCCAGCTTGGGGACGGAGCCTTCGACGGACTACAAACCCCACAATTCCCCCGCACCATGGACCCCGGTTTCCCGACTTCTTCTATCCAAACAGAGTTCTACTTTGAACTGGAGTATATGGATCTATCTACACTGCCATATAATCCAGTTCGAAGCAGATAATCCGGATTTTTATATGGTCCGTGTTGGGGTCAGAATAAACCACAAATCACGCCACGCATGTGTGATGATAACTATAATTCACAGGAAAGCAACAAAGCACGGTTATGCAAGGATCGCAAGTGTGAGGATTCGAATTCGGAAAACGGGAACAGCATTCGTAATTTTTTTTTTTTCGGGATCTCTCCGGCTATTGCTGGATGACCGATCCGTAGTCGGCGGCTTCGTAGACGGTGACGTGCAGCCGTCCGGGTGCCTGGCTGGGAGGATACGGTTCGGCAAGGATGACCTCACCGAGAGCGCAACGCCGGGTCCGGACTTCGCGGAGGAAGGCCTCCAGTTCGTACTCCATGCGGGCCAGCTTCCGGGCGTACGAACGGCGGGCTTGGGTCAACACCGGCGGGCGAGATCCACACCGAGGCTTCGGGCTAGTCGTGGTCAGCGCTGGGTTGGCAGACACCGGGCAAGCGGCCTTTCCGTCCTGCGGGCCTGGACCACAGCTGCTCTGTTTTTGGGACAAAACAAAAGAAACGTCCACTAGATTTTCTGTTTTCCTCCACCACAGACACCCCAGTACTCCGTAGACACCAAACTCCTTCAATTCAATGACATTGGAAATTATAGAGAGCGCCGTGAACACGTCCACCACACACACGACACTGCCCACCACCCAAGGGAAGGATTTCAGAATGGGATAGAAATTGCTCTAAGAGCTTCCATGTACATGGGTCAGGGAACCCGCTCCGGTTTTTAGTCCGAACTACAATGAACATGACCCTAAGTATACAGGACATAGAAACGACCCTAAGAGCTTCCATGTACCTGGGGCAGTGAATCCGGTTTGGGTTTTAGTCCGAACTACAATAGAAATCCCACTAAGAGCTTCCGTGTACATGGGGCAGGGAATCCGCTCCGAGTTTTAGTCCGAACTACAATAGAAATTGCCTTAGGTCCTTCCATGTATGCGGGGCAGGGTTTGGGTTTTAGTCCGAACTACTATAGAACTGAGACTAAGAGCTTCCATGTACCTGGGGCAGTGAATCCGCTCTGGGTTTTAGTCCGAACTACAATAGAAATCCCACTAGAGCTTCCATGTACATGGGGCAGGGAACCCCGCTCCGGTTTTTAGTCCGAACTACGATGGGCATGACCCTAAGTATACAGGGCAAAGAACCGACCCTAAGAGCTTCCATGTACCTGGGGCAGTGAATCCGGTTTGGGTTTTAGCCCGAACTGGAATAGAAATTGCTCAAAGAGCTTCCATGTACATGGGGCAGGGAACCCGCTCCGAGTTTTTAGTCTGAACTATAATAGAAATTACCTTAGGTCCTTCCATGTATGCGGGGCAGTGAATCCGCTCTGGGTTTTAGTCTGAACTGGAATAGAAATTACTCTAAGAACTTCCATGTACATGGGGCAGGGAATCTGGTTTGGGTTTTAGTCCGAACTACAATAGAAATTACCTTAGGTCCTTTCATGTATGCGGGGCAGTGAATCTGCTCTGGGTTTTAGTCCGAACTGGAATAGAAATTACTCTTAAGAGCTTCCATGTACATGGGGCAGGGAATCCGGTTTGGGTTTTAGTCTGAACTACAATAGAAATTACCTTAGGTCCTTCCATGTACATGGGGCAGGGAACCCCGCTCCGGTTTTTAGTCCGAACTACGATGAACATGACCCTAAGTATAATCCGAACCACAATAGAACTGACCCTTAGAGTTTCCATGTATACGGGGAAGGCAATCCGCTCCGGTTTTTAGTCCGAACTATAAAGTAACGCCATTCCAAGCTCACCTCGTTGTGCTCGTCGTGCCCCTCTTCCACCGCTGGCGCGCAGATGCCCATCTTGGCGCACAGCCATTGCAGCGCATAGAAGACGAAGAGGCAGACGGCGCAGATGCTGCAGAGGGCACCCACGTTGGTCACCCATTGGCCCCCCACGGCTTGGTCGCTCAGCCGGTTGCGGACCCGCTGCGGGCGAGGACCCTCTTGGGCCATGGAGACCCCCAGCCATGCGCACGCCACGGCCAGGCACCACCACGCAGGACCCATGGGGCCAGCCATAGCTGAGCCTAAGAGCCACCGGGGTCATTCCACAATGGCCGGCAAGCATGCCATTGTGACCTCGGCGCCCTTCCAACCAATGGCTGCGAAGAGGGTCTGAAGTCTAAAACCCAGAAGCACTCTCTCCTGACATTTCACCCACATCTATGGCTGGCGTCCTCAGGGGTCGAGGGGTCCCACCGACAGACAAGAGTTCTTTCTCCCACCTTGGACATTAGGCTTGTTTGTGAGTTTTCCGATGTTCCAGAAGCACTCTCTCCTGACATTTCACCCACATCTATGGCGTTTTCTGGCCTAACCTGGCGATATTCCAGAAGCACTCTCTCCTGACATTTCACCCACATCTATGGCCGGCGTCCTCAGGGGTCGAGGGGTCCCTCCGACAGACAAGAGTTCTTTCTCCCACTTTGGACATTAGGCTTGTTTGTGAG